AATTCATTCACAACAGGCACAGACTCAAGTGTAGGTGCCTTAGCATCGGTGTCCATAATCCGAACCAAATGATAGATACACCCATTGTTAATCATCTTCGTGGACTTAAGGTAAGAAATAAACCTACCCTTCGGCACTACATCATTCCCCTTCCATCCAATCACTGTCTCATTTGGAAATTCAAACCTAACGGTTCTGATTCGACGATCAAGCTTAGCGAAACATGAATAAAGCTAATCCATCCCTATTATTACATCAAAATCAACCATCCCCAATTCAATTAGATTGGCCATGGTGTCCCGACCACGAACCATGACAACACAATCCCTATAAACCCGTGCAGCCACAATAGACTCACCAACCAGAGTAGATACAGAGAACGGCTTATGGAGTTATTCCGGCTAAATCCCAAATTCCATAGCAATATAGGGAGTAACATATGACAAAGTGGAACCGGGATCAACAAGAGCATATACATCATGGGATTGGACAGTTAATATACATGTGACAACATCTGGAGAAGCCTCTAAATTCCAATGACTCTGCATAGCATAAAATCTGCTTGGTCCTCTCGAACTCTGTGTACCACCCCTAGCTACACCACGCCCTGCGGATGCTGGGGTGCCTCGAGCTGGAGGATGTAGTAGCTACAGAACTAGCTGGCTGCGCCGCAACTTTGCCCATTATCCGGTGGGATGAGCGACAATCCCTCTGAATATGACCCCTCATACCGCACCTGTAACATATAGGTAGGTCCATAACGCAGGCCCCAAAGTGCATCCTACCACACTTAGCGCATGGGAGCCTCTGTTGCTGCTGGAATCTCCCTCCAGGCTGACCCTGCTGGTGGGGTCCCATGTTGCCCTGACAGGCCCCGGATGGCTATGCACTCATCAAAACCTGAGCTAATGACTCAGATGGCCCTGATGACCCTCCCCTAAATACCGACCTAGCACCACCAGAACAACCACCCATGTTTCCCACGGTCCGGGCCTTGCTGCTACCCACACGCTACGTTCGATTTTTCAGTTTACGACCCTTTGTAGCTTGAGCAAACGCCGCCATCTTCACATAGTTCATATCAGAATTCAAGGCAGCTGTAGTGGCCTCATTAATAACCAAGGGTCTAAGACCTTGCACAAACCGGTGCACTCTAGCCTCCATAGTGGGCAACATATGAATAGCATACTTAGACAGGAGCGCGAACTCCGTATGGTACTCCCACACATTCATGTTACCGTGCTTCAGGCACTCAAACTCAATGGCACGGCCCGCCTTAGTCTCGGTAGGCAAGAAATGATCCATAAAGGCATCAGTGAACTCACTCCACCTCGCCGGAGGGCTCTCCTTCTCATGGGACTCCTCCTACATCTCAAACCAAGACTAGGCCACCCCTTTCAGGCGGTAGGAGGCCAACTCCACTCCCTCCGTCTCAGTAACATGAATAACTCGGAGAGTCTTGTGCATCTCATCAATGAAGTCCTGGGGGTCCTCCTCAGGATCAGTACCTGTGAACACTAGAGGATCCAACTGGAGAAACCTGTTCACCTTGGACCTAACAGAATCCCCTAGCTTACTAGAAGAAGCAGGTGCAACATTTGATCTTTGGGCCTGGGAGGCCACTATCTGAGCCAACATCTGTATGGCTCCACTAAGATCCCCATTAAAAACACCGGGACCGGAAGCTAGAGTTGTAGGTGGAACTGGAATATCAATTGGAGGGATCATTGCACCTTCAGTAAGTGTAGGAACTAGTGCATTCTGAGCAGGAATAGTAGATTCAGGCGGTGTAGTAATTGGGGGAATATCCTCACCCCTCGGGTGCTTACCCTCATCATCAATTATAGAATCAACTCCTGGGGTGACATTGGCTCCTTGGCCAGTTCTTGCTTTCTTCCTAGGCACCATGTACTGAAAGTTAGAGCAAAGCATGAGTTAAAGGAGGATCAATCTTACAATCAGCTTTATCGCACGATCGAGAACATCAAAGAAGGGTATTATTCCTAAATGCCCAAGTAGCCGCCTAATTATAGATGTGGTCGACAACACATCAATAAGGACTCTACTACACACGGCTCCGAGACATCCTAGGACACTTTAAAACCTGAGGCTTTGATAATAAATTTGTCATGCCCCGACCACGGTGAGCGCGACCGGCGCTCAACCGAGATACCCCGGTCAAGCAAGCCTTTACAATACCTTCTACCCAACTCACCCAAAAATAAAGAGGAAAATACCTTTCATTAATTAGACAGTAAGAGGTCATGAGAATATCACCAGTTCATTTTCATTAGTTACGTCATTAATAAGTCTCGAAAACAAGTACATTGTAGAATCATAGTTAAATTGGAACAGATGATACGATTACAACATTTTAAGTTTAACCTTCCCAAAAATAGATACAACCCACACTATGTCTACGGTGCCTCTAAGAGAAACAAAAGAGTACTACGACAGTGCCGGCAACAAGGCCCCGGCTATACCTCTAAACACTATGTACATGGAACAAGAGATACAGGACCCCAGAATGAAGTAGGGCTCACCAAGTCAGCTGAGGAGAGGGGGTGATGCTATCAGTGATCAATACCACCCGCTATGCAACCACCTGCATCCATTAAAGATGCATCGCCCCCGGCAAAAGGGACGTTAGTACATGTCGAATAGTACTAGTACAAAAACCAAACACCGATGCAAGGACTTGGAAATACGACATGAATATGATGAATCATGGTAATGGTAAAAGGCTTAATTAGTCATTAAAGCCATAGCAAATTTATTAAGAGCTTTCAATAACATTTATAAATTCATAATTCGGGGATCTTCTACAACTACCTTTACACAAAGCGGCCCTGTCGCCTTACGTCAATGTATGTGGGTGGAGGTGCAATCACAATTCCAGAAACTCTACACAAAGCAGCCCTGCCACCTCACCCCAATGTATGCGGGTGGAGGTGCATTCCTCATGCCACAAACTCTACATAAAGCGGCCCTTCCGCCTCACCCCGATATATGCAGGTGGAGGTATATTCACAATACCATAACTCTACACAAAGCGACCCTGCCGTCTCACTCCAATGTATGCGGGTGGAGGAGTATTCATAACGACACACTTCGGATTCCCAAAATGATAATAGTTGTACAAAAGCGTTCCCTTTTAAATCAACCATTTGGCACCTTTGGCCTTAGCAAGTGTAAGTTCATAAGGTTTAATCATGTGAGAAATAAGTGTATAATCACATTGATTTCATACAAGATCTCCTTCCCAGAAGGGGTATAACATAGGTAAGTAAAAAATGGAGAATCATTAACACACGAGGGTTCTAACACGTTATGCCAATCGGGAATCAATTTGACTAGTTTGAATACCCCACATCAATAGTGTTTCAAGGTCGACTACTCACGATAGAATTTTACAAGTATTCGAGAATTCCAATACTAGAAGAAGAGTTTAGCCTTCATATCTCTCTTTGAGCTTTCCCTAATTCACTATACAGTTCCGAAAATCCTAGCAACCTCGATCTATTTAGAGACATGGAAAAATTTTGAACATAAATTCAGAAGATATTCATAATTTCAGCTCATTTGAGCATTTAATCAAACACTAGGCGTGCGAATTCGACTACAACATTTTTCCACAAGATTTCCTTCACTCCACAACTAATTCAATGCCAAGAGTTTACTCATACTAATTCAATTACCTCCCACTATCCTCATAGCTACATGCATGCATAAATAACAACTCTTATACCCAAGAATCAAACTCCCAATTACTCATCTTCTACCTAAACTCAAAATTAAAGACTAGGGTTAGAACCTTACCTCTTGGATGAAAACCTTGTGTGTTTTTCCTTGCGAATTCTCCAAGTCTTGAGCAAGAATTAATGAATAATTAGCCTAGGGTTTATTCCTCTCTCTCTAGAACACTCTCCCTTCTCTCTAATATATCAGATTTCTCTTTCAAAATGAGCCACTAGGGCTTTTGATTAAAATAGGTTTGGATAAAAAAAATTAGAAAAATGAAGCCCCGACACAGATATGTGGTCGCATATGCGACCGCATTAGGCTCCTGCGGTTCGCAAAATGGGCCACATAATGGCCCTCATGAACTGGGCACCCTTGCCTTACTCTACGATCGGAAATTTATGTGTTGGGTCTGCGATGGTTATGTGGCCCGCAAAATGATTATGCTACCGCATAATGGACTGTATAATGGTCCAAAATAATTGCCTAGATTTTTGCCTTAGTCAGCGGCAGACCTGCGGTCAGCAGATCAGTTCTGCGACCGTAGAATGGGCCGCATAAAATGCCCTGCACTTCCAAGAAATTTGTTCAACTCCCCAATGCATTGTTCAACCCAAAAAGTCCGAACCCTATCAAACCAACTGCGAATTACACCAAATTTTGCGGACATGTTCCAAATAGCAAAATGGGCCCTATTCCAAGTCCCAAAACAAAAATCCAAACTCGAAAACCATAAAGTCAACCTACGGCCAAACCTAAGGATTTGCCAAACATTCAAATTGTTAACTTTTGGCAAAACAAGCAATATCAACCTAGGGACCTCCGAATTAAATTTCGGGCATACGCCCAAGTGCAAAATCACAATACAAAGTTATCGGATTCGTCAAAACACTGAGTCGGGTCATTTACACAAACTGTTGACCATAGTCAACTCAAGTGTCATTTTAAGTCAAAAATTACTTTTTCTTTAAATATTTACGTCAAAACACGAACTATGCACGCAAATCAAGAAATATCAAATGAAGCTAATAGATGTCTCAAAACATGGAAATAAGGGCTAGTACTCAAAATGACCTATCGGGTCGTCACATTCTCCACATCTAGAAGAAATATTCGTCCTCGAATGGATATACAAAAGTACTTGGACTGGTAAAAAGGTGTGGGTATCTACTACGCATATCAAACTCAGACTCTCACGTAGCTACCTCAATCGGCTGACCTCTCCAATGCACTTTCACATAAGGAAAACTCTTAGATCTCTACATTCGAACCTCTCGGGCAAGAATAGCCACCGGCTCCTCCTCGTAGGCCAAATTCTCATCAAGTTGAACCGTACTGAAGTCATAAACATGCGAGTTGTCCTCATGGTACTTCCAAAGCATAGAAACATGAAATGCCAAATGTACCCCTGATAGGCTAGGAAGGAATGCAAGCCTGTAAGCAACCTCCCCAGCCCTCTCAAAGATCTCAAATGGCCCAATAAACCTCGCGCTCAACTTTACCTTCTTCCCAAAATGCATCACGCCATTCATAGGAGACACTGTTAGAAGAACCTTCTCGCCCACCATGTAGGCTACATCTCGAACCTTCCAGTCTGCATAACTCTTCTGCCTGTGCTGTGCTATACAAAGTCACTCCAGAATCACCTTAACCTTCTCCATTGCATCACGGACCAAATCAGTGCCAACAACCTAGCCTCTCGAGACTCGAACCAACCAATTGGAAAATGACATTTCCTCCCATATAAGGACTACTACGGCGCCATCTGAATACTCGACTAGTAGTTGTTGTTGTAGGAAAACTCTACTATAGGTAAGAACTGGTCCCATGAACCTCTGAAATCTATAACACAGACATGTAACATGTACTCCAAGATCTGAATGGTGTGCTCGGACTATCCGTCCGTCAGAGGATGAAATGTTATGCACAACTCGACCCGCGTGCCCAACTCACGCTGTAAGGCTCTCCAAAAATGTGATGTGAACTGCGTGCCTCGGTCAAAAATGATGGAATAGGCATGTCGTGCAGGAAGATAATCTTCTGAATGTAAATTTGGGCAAATCGCTCTGAAAAATAGGAAGTTGCCACCGGAATGAAGTTTGCAAACTTAGTCAACCGGTCCATAATAACCCAAGTTGCGTCATACTTCTTCATAGTCCGTGGTAAGCCTACCACAAAATCCATAGTGATGCGCTCCCATTTCCACTCTAGTATCTCCAATCTCTGGGTCAATCCACCCGATTTTTTATGTTCATACTTCACATATTGACAATTCAAACACTGAGATATATAAGCAACGATGTCTTTCTTCATTCTTCGCCACCAATAGTGTTGTTTCAAGTCACGGTACATCTTCGTGACACCTGGGTGAATGGAATAGCGTAAACTATGAGCCTCCTAAAGGATCAACTCTCTCAACCCATCAACATTTAGAACACAAATCTGGCCCTAAATCCGCATGCCATAATCATCACCAATCACAACCTCATTAGCACCTCCATGTTACACCAACAAGTGAGGATCATTAACTTGGCGAGCCTTTATACGCTCCAACAACGAAGATTGTTCCACAACACAAGCAAGAACCTGGCTAGGCTCCGAAACATCCATTCTCATAAACTAGTTGGCTAAAGCATGAACATCAATGGGTGGTGGCCTTTCTGCTACAGGTAAACATGCCAAACTACCCATGTTTTTCGCCTTCCTACTCAATGCATCGGCAACTACATTGGCCTTCCCCGGATGATATAATATGGTAATATCATAGTCTTTCAATAACTATATATATAACCATCTCCGCTGTCGCAAATTAATGTCTTTCTACTTGAACAGGTGTTGGAGACTCCAATGGTCGGTATAGACCTCACAATAAATGTCGTACAGACAGTGGCTTCAAATCTTCAACGAGTGAACAATGGCTGCCAACTCTAAGTAACGAACATGGTAATTCTTCTCATGTACCTTCAACAGCCAAGATGCGTAGGCAATCACCCTACAATCCTGTATTAATACCGCGCCAAGCCCAATTTGTCATGCATCACAATACACTGTGTAAGCTTCAGAACCTGTAGTAAATGAAGTCTTGAGCTTTTGAAAGCTCAACTCACACTCGTCAGACCATCTGAAAAGAGCACGCTTCTGGGTCAACTTGGTCAATGAGGCTGAGATAGCTGAAAACCCCTCCACGAATCGGCGATAATAACCTGTCAAACCTAGGATGCTCCGAATCTCTATAGCTGGAGTAGGTCTAGGCTAGTGCTGAACTGCCTCAGTCTTCTTAGGATCCACTTTAATGCCCTATGAAGATATAACATGGCACAAAAATGCAACCGAGTTGTAAGGCCCCAAAAATTTTGCTAAGGAATTTAAGGTTTCATGGTGTCGAAGTAGGCTTATAAGTTGTAAGGCCTCGAAAATCTCACCGCGGTACGAAGTTTTTGGGTTGAAGAATTCATTAATGTGTTGGTGGAAACTTTTTGCTAAAGGGCAAATTACGCGGTCAGATTTGCGGCCGCAGATCAATTCTGCAGGCCGCATAAGCGTCGCAGAGTTGAGCAGGGAGTTTTTTGAATTTTGACGGCTGTTTCGCGGTCTATTGTGTGATCGCAAACCAATTTCGCGGTCTGCACTTCTGTCATAGAGTTGTACAAGGAAATTTCATTGGGCGATTCTATGGCCTATTATGCGGCCGCAAAAGTGTTCTATTAAGCACAGACTGGTCGCAGACCTGTCCAGATCATCCTAGTTTTTGGGCATCACTTTCGTGGTCCATTATGCAGACTGCATACCTATTTTGCGGTCAGTTCTGCGACCGCAGACTTGAGTTCGGAGGGTCTATTTTTTTTATTTGTATAACCTGACCCCATTTTGATAAATAGCCTTCGGGGCTCATTTTGGGGCAATTATATGATGATTTTAGAGAGAGGTAAGAGCATTTTAAAGCGAGAAAGAGGAAACCTAACACCCTAATCATCCAATCTTGCACCAACCTTCAAGAAACAAGGAAACCAATCACTAGATTATCATCTATCCGGGTAAGACCTTGTCCTAAAACATTCACGCAATTGTTATGGGTTTAAATAGGTGATGAGGGTTGAAAATAGGCCATGCATGTGACAATAGGTTGTAGTGTGTGGGTTTAATGAACTAGTTTGTATGGTTTCTTGTTGAAATTGGTTAAGGGAGGAGGAGATTACCATTGTAGAGATTTGTAGTCCATTTTGCATACTAGGTGTTCGACAATATTCCTAAGAGAGTTACACCATGTGAATCCTTCTAATTATTATCCAATTTTCGCTACCTTATTATAGATTGTTATTGCTAGAAGTATTGGGACGTTGTAGTAACTTAAGGAAAGCTCAAACAAGGTAAGTTGGCTAAACTCCTCTTGTAGAATTGAACCCCACAATGGACTTGTAACTCCGGTGTTGCACATTATAAATTGATTATTCCGAACAAGCCTTGTGTCAAAAGATATATGCGTTCAAATAGTATTCCAAACGTTCTTCTTGGTTGTGTTACTATTTGAGAAGGTGATTAAACATGGGTTGTGTGTTATTATGTCATGATTTGAAGCGTGATTTTAATGAAAACTAGCATGTCGAATTGTGTAAGAAATCACATGTGTCTAAGATCATTAATTTGGTTAGTTGCTCAACTATGCCTTATAAAAAGGACTAAGCGGTCGTTACAAATATATTCCGGCTAATAAGTCCGGAGTCGAATCCCACAAGGAATTAACCTATCAAACACAGCTACTAGACTCACACAAATTCACACAATCAATCTTCAGAAATATTTAAGTAACATATTGGGTTTTATTAACTAAATATTACATAATGAAAATGTAATAATTAACAACTAACTACGAACAGATTGTAAACAAGAATTGGAATGATCTAAAGTTGTGATTTCCCCTATTGTCGAAATCCTTTCTGCTACGTTTCCTATAAATTTGCCTAAGTCTTCTCTACCAATCATGAGCACTCTAACTGTCGTAACTCTCTCCCGAGTAATTACCACAATTTAATAGACATATTCTCCCGAATTACGCTAGCTGGCATTAATTACAGATCACTCAGATCGCACCAAGGTTTCCTTATCCCTAATCTCACCTTTGAACCTTCGTATTGATCCCTCATATACGTTTAGGAGTGATGTTGTTCAACAACTACCTAAATATGTACTATCTCTCGAGTAATGCATACTAAATAGGCACAGCTGATTGAAGGGCCCTTCAATCAACCACAAGAATAATATAGTTGAATAAATAGAGAAAATACTATGGCAAATCTATATTAACGTAACAAGAAAATCATCCTTCAATAGGTTCCATCAAAATCCTAGATTAGGAAGTTAGCTGCTCATACTCATAGTAATAATATCCCAAATATTTTGCATAATTAAAATAGAGAGTAAAGATGAAAAGATGTAGAAATAATGATTCTAACTCCAATGGGTGATTCCACCAGTTCTTCTTGCCTCTAGCTGCCCAAAAACGTGGCTGTTGAAAGAAACCCCTTCCAAGTGGTATTTTTAGGTCTATTTATATGTGTAGAAGAAACCCTAAACGTGTGGGCCGAGTCTTAGTCAAACTCGAAACGAATTAAGTCTTCAAAAGTCGGATTGGATTTGGCCTCAGGCCTGGCGTCGCCAGCCTAACGCCTGGAATTTGGCTGGCCTCGCCAGGCTAAAGCCTGGTCCAGCCTGGCCTTAGGCTGGCCTCACCAGGCTAAAGCCTGGTCCAGCCTGGCTTTAGGCTGGTGGCCTTTGGCTGGCCTCGCCAGGTCTCTCCTTTTCACTATTCTCGAGCACACTTTCAACGTTTAAGTATCCATGTTGCTCTACTTTCTTCTCCAATTCACCTACACATAAAATAGACTCCATTATGCACAAATAAAATGTAATTTATCATTAAAGCATGTAAAATGCAAGGCACATAATGTACGAAACTATGGAATTATAGCCACACATCAATACCCCACACTTAAACATTGCTCGTCCTCGAGCAATCAAACTACACTTATAGATACGACCTTTTAAAGCAATTCTCCTAACTCATTACACAATTTTTAAAATAGTTTAAGCACACAAGTGTGACATCCTCGCCTCAAGATTCGACTCACAAATACCATGCCTTATTCACAATTCACTTACTTACTCTAACATGGATGTCAACAACATTACCTTTCCTTTATGAATCACGTGCCCTCAATCTAAGATAGGAAGAATTCACTCGCTCTCAGAAATAACATTCATATGCTACAAAAGATGCACCATAGGCTTGCCCGTAGTGTAATGCTCTACTAATCGAGTTCATTCAATCTAAGATCAAGTAGGACTTTCATTGGTTGTAATGTAGGCTGCATGTCGGGTAAGATACATTTGGATATGAGTGACTACACCTCCCTTAAGCACTTTAATACATATACTTTAACACGCATCCCATACTTATGTCAAACCATAACTTTCCACCTTCACTTCAATTTATATTCCCCATATTTCTTTAAGCATAATTACATTAAAAGTTGCCACTTATCGAAGAATATTCTTTTTCCCAGCAATGCAA